TTAAGGTTCAACAAGCCCCCTAAAAGAGGTAATAGTCACCCTAAATTTCAACCCCATGGCAAGTCATATTCAAATATTCTTATCACAAATCGGAATATATATATGTAATTTAAATACATTGAACTTGTACATGAGCTATTAAAAAGGTATATAACCAGGTCAACGAAGTCAAAAATACGGCATTAAGGCTGATGTAATGATAAAAGTTGCTCACCAGATTTATAACATGTCAATCTCCTAAGTGACCCAACTGAATGTTTCGAAATGACATGTTATTTGAAGATCATTTATATACCTAGGTCAAGCGGGGCTTTATTTCTCTTTAACTATGTGTGGAGAGGCATACCGGCCTCACAAATAGATGATTGTTGCTATGGGAATGTACAAAAATCATAGTAAAACGTCAGAGTAACATATTTTAACGGTATATATGTGTATAACCACAGACATTTGACCATAAATACTACTTAAACTTCATATAAAATGTCCTTCCTTAACATTCAATATTGTAATAAAAGAGCTAGACTTGTTGTAAACATTATTGTATTTTTCAGCTTCAATGTTTATAACATGTCTAGCGCATTCATATAATCACATAATGTTTTCAAATGGCACATCATGTCAAGTTCATTTATCGATCAAGGTTACTTAGCCATTGTTTTCTTATTTAAAATTTGTTAAAATGTTTTACCAGGATATTTTATTATGATTTTAATGATTACGCATGGCAACATATATCTTCTATTTGTGGTCGGAATTCCTCTCAACAGTTAGTAGAAGAGAAATAAAGCTCCGCATGACCTAGATATATAAATAAACTTTAGATTATGAGTCATTTCCCAGCACTCAGTAGGGTTGCAAAAGAGATTGACATGTTATAAGTCCGGTGAACTATTTTTATAAAGACATCAGCCTCAATGCCTTTTTTTGACTACGTTAACCTGGCTATGTATTCTTTGTATGGCCAATGTACAAGTTCAATATATATAAATAACATATGCGAGTTCCGATTTGTAATTGAGGTCTTTGAACATGACTTACCAGGGGGTTCGAATTTTAGTTGACTACGTCATCTTTTAGGGGGCTTGTTGAACCTTAACGTCTAGATTTATAGATTAAATAAAACGTATCGATGTCCTGGTATTCTTTACATACATGTAATACAACATATACAAATGATTCAAAACGAATGCAAAGTCTCGGTGATCGGAGGTATCATAGTTGTCAGGTGAATTTGAATCAAATAGCACAGAGCGATCTGAAGGTCGTGAGTTCGATCCTCACCCGGGGCATTTCTTTTTCAATCTAAAATGGTATAGTTAAATTATTATGGCTATATGTTTTACTCACATTGGATGCTGACTTTAAATTTCTCACAAAATCAATAAAAAAAGTTTGTCATCAAAACAATAAAACCACTTGACTTAATGTTTAGAGTTAAATACATTTTGAAAAGTATAATAATATACTGCCATTTAGTGAAGTGGAGCCTTGATAACATGCGGTGGCATTGCTTAAATAATTAATAGAAAACTGTAGTTTCTTTTATGTATTTTGACAGGTTTTATATGAAATACAACTTAAAGAAGCACAATAGCTGCTCTATCCAAAAGTACAAATATTTAACAATATTAAGGGTTACAAAGCAGATTTCTTTTCTTTTGCATTTTTGCCTTATTTCCATATCGTTTTTGTATGACCTTTTTGCTTTATATTCCATTCTTTCAGCCACTGATAAGTCTTAAATAGACGATGGCCAAGTAGTACATATTGGCTTTGTCTGGCTTTCTGATAAACATATTTTGTTTTGTTTTTATGATGTTATTGAGTGTTTAGATAAATAATTATTGCTAGATATACGAACTTTCGTTTGAGTAACGTCTGTCTAACTTGATACAATTAAACAATATTTTGTTTAAATAATTAAGCCTTCAATGCTATTTTTACCGATGCATTTGCATACCACCTTTTAACGCTTGAATGCAATTAGCTCTTTTGTCAAATGTGTTTTTAGTCTTGTGGTTTCGAAAGAAGAATTTAACTTAGATGAAACTAATCATATATTTATCTTGTCATCTTGAAATTAAATGTGCCTTAGCAATTTTATTGTCTTTTTAATAATAACTAAAATTGTGTATTACATATTAAACGGTTCGTTGTATGTTTTATATAATTGTGTGTACGAAACAAAAGAACAAAATTAAAGCATTTGTATACTAACACCCCCTTACTCTTTACGTATAAGCTTTAAGACGTATACAAATGATTCAAAACTAAAGCAATGACCATGAATGGAAAACGGTGTTGTCAGGTAAATTAGTAACTTGTCTCATTTTACTTGCATGGTCGTTTCTTGTGTTTCGCAGACAATGCACATTTACGTTTTTAGTCGATTACAAGCAGCCTGACAATACTTGCAGTTCATTAAGGGAAAATCCCGTATTTTGTTTCAAATTATGACATGTTTTATAAAAAAGCGTATATAATGATTCTTGTAAAGCATCGGAAATCCAGTACAAACGGGTCGTTTAGTGAACGCGTCTGACAGCTAAATCTACCAACCACTAGGTATCAAAGAATGCGTGGAGACATTACTCTTGTATTTAAAATTGGAAAACAATCTCTGTAATAAGAGAGTCAGCAATGGATTCCTTGCACAAGTGACATTACAAAAAGGTCTTGATCATCTGCAAACATTATAGATAAAATAGCACTAATGATTGAGATCAGATAAAGTTCGATTTGAGGACAGTAATTACGATTTGGGTATAGCCTCGTTGATAGT